CTGTGAGTGTGAGTCCGCACTGATGGTTTGGCCCGTTGACAGCAGCTCATATTGCACCACTTGTCGACTAGTGCATCAGGCAGAGAGCATAATCTTGCGTCGGTGTAGAGGTTGTCTTGTGAGAGCTACAGGTCCCCGTGGCGATAGCCAAACCCTGGCACGTTTGGGAGTATCAGAACTCACCTTTCGTCACTGGTGAGCACTCGATCAAATATTGATACATTACAGTGCTGAGAAAGTAACGAGAAAGAGGCTTTCACTCGTTGCTTTCGATAGTGTGTTGGATATCCTTTCTCAAGTTGTACGCCTTCCCTATGTCGTGTAGACGAAGACTTATTCTTTCATCAGAATCCTGGAAGCAGTCAGCAAACTTACCAGAGGTTTGGCTAATGTCCTCCTCTCTAGTCACCTTCAGGGCCTTATCATCCAGGATCTGTAGCCGGCCATTTCAGGGTTCATCACAACGGGTAAATATCCAAACCTGAACTTCTGGAACCAATGGCTGACGGTGCGTTCACGCACAATATTATCCGAAAAGGCTTGACGTATTCGGCAACTTGATGCTGCTGCGGTCAAGCAGACAACTTCGAACGAGCTGGTTTGACATCGCCATGTTTGCCCACCGTTGTTTGGGGTATGACTAAAGTGTGTGCGCAACGCATCTGCATTAGTATCAGTGATCATTTTATTCCCACCCGACGTGAAAAAAACAGCAAGGATTTTTTTGGTTAACATATTGTTTTATAAAAATTTCTCCCGCCACCCTGTCAGCAAGGTTTAGAATACGCCGTGTCGACTTACAGTGGAGTAAGAACCCCTCAAAAGGGGGATCACCTACCAAATAAATGCTTAACGTCTCAAATATAACCTACCAATATTTACGTAAATCCAAGTAAATCCTAAAAACAACAGAATCCAATGGCAGTAGTTTAATATTCTAAAAAGTTTACAACATTTGATATCGATTAAAACGGACATATTATATCAACAAACGGAAAAGACGTACCAGAAAAAATTTACATCCTCGTATGGGGTAATATCGAAAAACAAAATAAATAAAATAAAGTTAAAATAAAAAATAAAACAATTAAGAAAAAAACCGGTTTAACTGGTTTTTCAATCTACTCTCATCAGAGCTTAATACAGGAAGAAAATGGTGAATAGTGATTAAAACGAAAACACCAAAGATCAGATGTTATATAATAACTATATAAACAAGAAATGGCCATTATACTTAAGCCTAACAATCACTCAGGGAGACTGACAGGACTTAATATGAATTGACTCTGAAACTTACGGTGAAAATCTGATTGAACCGTTTCTCAGTAGCGAGAACATTTTTGGGTTGTAGTAAAGGGCATATTGATGACTGTTTAATAAATGCTCAGCTATCGCCAAGCCAGATATCTTTCCGAATATTGGTTGGAACATGGTGATTAATCCTTGATCCCAAACTTTGATTTATTCCGATCTTGATGAAGGACCGTGATGATTGGCAAGATAGACTCATTAATATTCGTGATATCTTGACCGAGTAAAAAAGAAAATACAGATAAGGAAACTTATGGACCACCCTGTGCAAATGTACAGAAGCATCGATTTTTTTACAGCCCTGTAAGAAAATACAGATGAGGAAACTTATGGACCACCCTGTTCAAATGTACAGAAGCATCGATTTTTTTACAACCCTGTAAGAAAATACAGATGAGGAAACTTATGGACCACCCTGTGCAAATGTACAGAAGCATCGATTTTTTTACAACCCTGTAAGAAAATACAGATGAGGAAACTTATGGACAACCCTGTACAAAAATATTGGGGTGACAACATTTGGTCGACCTTGTACAAATGTACGAAGAGACAACATTACAAAAATAGGACTAACCTGTAAGGAAGAAAAAACTTGCCGTAGGTAGAACTTTAACAATGAAGAATGCAGCTTTGTGTTGGGCAGTAATTTAGCAGACCTATATGAAAAGTGCAACAAAATGACTTTTGTTGTGTGAAGAAATCACGTTTCTATCACGTTTAGTGCGCGTTATGTGAGAAATGGCTTTAGAATCTTCATGCTTCATAAAGTTTGTTAGCATAAAACCCTCGAAACAAGAGATTGTTCTAACATGACCATGGTACTTTTCTAACAGTTGCCATACCAGTGTGAATTCTTTAATTCTATTTGGGTTGATCATTTATTGTTGATAAGTTATATGAAAGTTATATGAAACAGGATATAGTCATCCTACTCAAAATATCCAAATCTACAGTTGGATATCACCCGTACCAGTTTCGTTATCTTAGTTGCTTTGATTTAAGGCTTCCACATGTGCTAAACTAAAGAAAAAAACGGATTTGTTTTCTATACTTGATTCGCAACATACACTGTAAAGATCGTTTCGCCTTTTGACAGGCAATGAAAAGTGGATACTTTACAAGTGGAAGTGGAAATGATTACGGGGCAAGAGAGCTAAGCCGGCATTTACTGTACGCAAAGTTGGTCTTGATTCCCAAAAGTTAATAATCTGTATATATAGGGTTTGAAATTAATTTCCCTGCTATTAGCCATTAACGCACAAAAGTCTGAAATGTCTGTACAGCCAACAGAAAGCCTACTTGATGACCAATAGAAAACAAAAGATATTACTATCAATAAAAATTAAGAGAAGATATACAAGTACGGAAAAAATTGCAGTATTTAAATTGCAGTTCAAAAGTTTGAGGTTACCCCTGGTAATTTTTTAAATTGGCCAAAAAGTAGTTTTGTACTTTGAATAAGAGAAAATATATAGTTAAAAAAATGTTTTATTAGAAACTTTATTATGGCAAAAAAAAAGAAGCATTTGATGATTAAATTTTGCTCTCGTTAAAATTCCCCACTTTCGTCGTGATTAATGCAGCACAAAGGTTTTCGCATTCGTTGCAAAAATTTCTCAAAGAATAAGTTTGTTAATTGATTCCATTCTTTTTCTCAATGACTCTAAGAACTATTTTTTATTTTTGTTAACTCCCCTTTCAAGTTCATCCTATGCTAATTCTGGGGGCGGCTTTTGAATTTTAGCATATATATATATATATATATATATATATATATATATATATATATATATATATATATATGTGTGTGTGTGTGTGTGTGTGTGTGTGTGTGTGAGTGAGTGACTGAGTGAGTGTGTGCATGTGCGTGTGTGTGATTGTTTTAAAATTTATGTATTTACTAGCAGCATGGCCCGGCGTTGCCCGTGCTTGTTTCAAAAATCGTACGATTCATACAGCTATCACTTAACTTAAAATATTTTTGCCCTTCCTTGTCTTTAAAGGAGTGCCATTTGTCGTGCTGATGTTGCTACATGCCTTACTTCTTGCCTGTGAATTTTTTCTAAGCCCTATACTAAACATTAAATCTGTTACGAAAAAAGAACTAAACAAAATGAACATAAAACGATCAGCTTTAAAAAAGGACTCATAACTGAAAAACCCGAATGAAAAAAGAATGTTAACAACAAATACTTTTTCACACCCAACCCAGTTCTGCAGAATCAGAATCAACGTTGAGTTTAAGCAAGCGAATGAGCCAATTGGAGCAAAGTGCAATGCATATTTAATTTTTTCCCACTTCTGACGAATGCAGCTATCGATGCTAGCATGCTAGTTAACATTCGTGTCAGTCAGCTGTTGGCTTCCATGCTGGCTACTAGAATCATACTGCCTATTCGTGGCAGCCAGCTATAGCCTCTCACTCTGGCCAGTAGAAAATGGCTGCAAACTACATGAAAACTACCGTAGAAGCATGAAAAATCGATTATTTCCACTATCGATGGGAGTTGGGAAATGCAAAGTCGGTCTTGGACTTCCCCGCTAACTTGGAGCATGTGCATGTAAATTTTGGTGCAAATCCGTCGAAAATCGGGGCCGTACATTCATTACACACACACACACACACACACACACACACACACACACACACACACACACACACACACACACACACACACCCTACCTTTTATACATAGAGATACTAAAAGACCAAATTTAAATATAAATATTTAAAATTCATTGATATTACCAGAATACTCTAATATACAAACACGAAATTTTTAGCTAGTAATCAATTTTCAAAAGCTTTTGCAAACTCTTGAATAATCGATGAATATTAATTATTGGCGGCAGTGACTTCAATCGACTGGCCGTCTTTGAAATTTATATTCCTGATCAATTCTTGAATTGATTTTCTTTGTAGTTCCTTATTTCCGGTTTCATGTCCTGGACACTTTTGCAAAGGCGCATTTCATCTCAAATGCACTTTATGCGCTGAAAACTAAAATAAGCTCCCCCACCCCTAAAAAAACTAAAAGTGTTTAACAAAATCCGAAGTAAATGAAACTATAAAGGTCTTGGAAGTCAGTCAGGTTTGACCTGAAAATTTCCCCAACGTATTCCAGGAAACTCGTTCAATTTCCTAATTTCAGGCAAAATCACGAATTCTCTGTAATGTAACCGGAGCGACCATCGAATTATGGGCAACAGCCGACAGTCTTATGCAAAAATTCTGGTTGCAAAAACTAATACTACCAGTGGTAGAATTAATATTAGTAATCATTTTAAAATACGAAAAATATATTTAAAAAAATGCCAAAATATAATGATTTATTGCAAAAAGACCACAATTAATGACAAGGATTATTATTGCTACACTTATGAAAAGAAAACGAATTGCAGATAACAAATAATAGGAATGCAACAAAGTAAGACAATCTATCCGTCTACCAAGTATGTGCTGGTGCATTAAAAACTATGTCTCTAGATGAACAACGAGTCCAAAAAATAAAATTAAAAAAAAGAATAAAAATATGTAAAATGTTAGTGTAAGTTTGACCAGCTTTATCCCTTGATGCCGTCAAAACAACATTAGACATTTTTCATTATTTTTTACAACAGAAAATTCCATTGATTTCTTTTTCATTTTCGTTGGTTCGCTAAATTCTTTCTTTCTTACTTTCTTACAGATTTCTTTACATATTCTTTTTTTTTTAATTCTCTTTTCATCCCCTTCATATTTTGGATTCTTTCTTTCTTTCTTTCTTTCTTTCTTTTTTCTTTCTTTCTTTCTTTCATCCCCTTCATATTTTGGATTCTTTCTTTCATTCTTTCTTTCTTTTTTCTTTTCTTTCTTTCTTTCATCCCCTTCATATTTTGGATTCTTTCTTTCTTTCTTTCTTTCTTTCTTTCTTTCTTTCTTTCTTTCTTCCCCTTCATATTTTGGATTCTTTCTTTCTTTCTTTCTTTCTTTCTTTCTTTCTTTCTTTCTTTCTTTTCACCCCTTCATATTTTTATTTTCTTTCTTTCTTTCTTTCTTTCTTTCTTTCTTTCTTTCTTTCTTTCTTTCTTTCTTTCTTTGCTTGTTACTTTTAATTCTTCCTTTTGTATATATTTTCTTCCAACCAAATTTAAATGCAATGTCTATCGTTATCTTCTGTCGTCTTAATTCTTGTTCTTTTATTGTCTTCTAAACTTAATAGTATATTTTTTTGTATTCTCTAACAATCAGTACCTCCACCCCTGGCATCTTAGTATCTTTATTGCCTTGCTTGTGGGTGGATGACTAATAAACAAAACAAAAAGTACATATTTTATTCCGGATTCTTTAAGTTATTATCCAATTTATCATAAGTTTTATTTTTCCTGTTTCATTTCCTTCCTTCCTCCCTCACTCCCATCCTTTTCTTACTATATTGCATTATGTTTTTCGCATTCAGCATGTATTCCTTTTGTTTTTATCATGATTTTTACTTAGACTATCTTCTTTTTCAGTCTTTTTCTTCCCTTTTTCACATTGTTTCTTTTTCTTTCTTTCATTTATTTCTGGAAATAATATTTTTCTTCCTTATTTCAATTTGTGCTTTTCTCTTTCTTTCTTTCTTTCTTTCTTTCTTTCTTTTTTCTTTTTCTTTCTTTTATTTCTGGAAATAATATTTTTCTTCCTTATTTCACTTTGTTGCTTGTCTCTTGTTTCTTTCTGACTTTCTTTCTTATTTTCTTTCTTTCTTTAATTTTTGGAAATAATCTTTTTCTTCCTTATTTCAATTTGTGCTTTTCTCTTTCTTTCTTTCTTTTTTCTTTTTCTTTCTTTCTTTAATTTTTGGAAATAATCTTTTTCATCCTTATTTCAATTTGTGCTTTTCTCTCTTTCTTTCTTTCTTTTTTCTTTTTCTTTCTTTCTTTTTTAATTTTGAAATAATCTTTTTTCTTCCTTATTTCAATTTGTGCTTTTCTCTTTCTTTCTTTCTTTTTTCTTTTTCTTTCTTTCTTTCTTTAATTTTTGGAAATAATCTTTTTCTTCCTTATTTCAATTTGTGCTTTTCTCTTTCTTTCTTTCTTTTTTCTTTTTTTTTTTTCTTTCTTTCTTTAATTTTTGGAAATAATCTTTTTCTTCCTTATTTCAATTTGTGCTTTTCTCTTTCTTTCTTTCTTTCTTTTTCTTTTTCTTTCTTTTTTTTAATTTTTTCTTTTTTCTTTTATTTAATTTTTTTTCTCTTTCTTTTCTTTTTTTTTTTTTTTTTTTCAATTTGTTTCTTTAATTTTTGGAAATAATCTTTTCTTTCTTTCTTTCTTTCTTTTCTTTTTCTTTCTTTCTTTCTTTTTTTTTTTTCTTTTTCTTTCTTTTATTTTTGAAATAATCTTTTTCTTCCTTTTTTCAATTTGTTTTCTTTCTTTTTTCTTTTCTTTCTTTCTTTCTTTTTCTTTCTTTCTTTCTTTTTTTCTTTTTCTTTCTTTCTTTAATTTTTGGAAATAATATTTTTCTTCCTTATTTCAATTTGTGCTTTTCTCTTTCTTTCTTTCTTTCTTTCTTTTTTCTTTTTCTTTCTTTCTTTAATTTTTGGAAATAATCTTTTTCTTCCTTATTTCAATTTGTGCTTTTCTCTTTCTTTCTTTCTTTCTTTCTTTTTTCTTTTTCTTTCTTTCTTTCTTTTATTTTTGGAAATAATATTTTTCTTCCTTATTTCATTTGTTGCTTTTCTCATCCTTTCTTTCTTTCTTTCTTTTTTCTTTCTTTGTTTCTTTCATTTTTGGAAATAAACTTTTTGTTCCTTATTTCACCTTGTTGCTCTTCTCTTTCTTTCTTTCAATCTTTCTTTCTTTCGCCCTTTCTTTCGTCCTTTCTTTCGTTCTTTCTTTCTTTTAATTTTGGAAATAATATTTTTCTTCCTTATTTCACTCAGTTGCTTTTGTCTTTCTTTCTGCTTTCCTTTCTGTCTTTTTTAGCTTTCTTAATTTATTTTTCCAATCCAGCGCAATTTTTCTCATCAATTTCACATTTCATTTCCATTTTTAGTCCTTATTTATATTAATAGTCACCATTAGTCTTGAACCTGAATCATCCTAATTGAAATAAACATGGCCGATCAGAGAATCGGCTTATGAATGATAAGAGTGCATTTAAATATTAATAGCAATATGACCAGTTGCAGCAGAGAACTAAAACCATTGAATGTGATTTCGTCAGTTGGCAGAAAATGAGGAAGTGAAAAAATACCGAAAAAAACAAAACAAAAAAAAACAAAAAACAAGGGAGATAAATCATTGTAGGAAAAAGATTATGATTAAAATAATTGGGAGGAAAGAGAAAACAGAGAAACAAATGAACTCTTTCGAAATTCAATTTCAGAAAGAAATGCAAAGAGAATAGAATAGGAAGAATGTCAAAATCAGATTTTACTGAAATAAAAGACATTTTTTTTTTTTACCTATAGACATTAATAATGTTAATTTCCCTTTTGCAATGTCTAACACTGTGCAGTGACGTTCACTTACGCAGCTCTTTTTCTAGAGACAATTAACAACGCCGTGGAATCTTCTAGTTGGCGCTACCAGGGGGCGTTTCCGTCTATTCCATGTCGGCAACCACGCTGAAGTCACGTGAGCGCCTCTAATTGCTTGGCTTCGTGCAATGGTGAGCTTTCAGTATCGGCATCGTCGGAATCTTCACAACTCAATGCAGTGGCGCAGTCAACATTCAACAAATCCATTAGCGATTGGTGCCACGTTGATATTGAATCTCGAATAATAGAATAGGAAAAGTGAGGGATAAAAGAAAAAAATCTTAAGGAAGTACGGTGAGGAAATGCAGGTTGCCTCGGATTTAGATCTGGGAATTTGGAGGGGAAAAAAAAAGTAAGTAAATATGAAAACGGAAAAAAAAAAAAGAATAGGTAAAGAAGCAGAGAACCGTTGGTTGGAATCGGCTTTTCCACTTTTCAAGATTTATAAAAATGAAAAGATGACAAAAACATGTGTTTTGCAGAGAATCCGAATCTTGAAATGAGTTAAAAACAAGGAAAATAGGCGAGCGTTTTCAGAAAAAAAAAAGATGGACAAAATTCAGTAATAAACTGAAGGCGAAGATAAATGAGTATAAAATAAAAACCTGAAAAATAGGTGAATGAAACTCAAGAAAGAATAAATGCAGAAGATGTTTAGCCTAGGGCTCTTAAAATGAAAAGTGCAAGAAAAATATTTATTTTTTTAAAAATACATTTGCGCTAATTTATAGCGATTTCCTAAGCTAAGACGTGGCACATGGCCGAAAATATGGAGTAACCAGTGAGGATCGAAACCGCTATTTAGTCGTAACTGATATAGCAAGACAAGCTTGTTAACCATTACACCATGTTGAATTGCCCAACATGATTTTGTAAGCGAACCTTAGATATATCACAAAGCAGAAATTATGGGACACATTGTGAGGATCGAACTCACTACTTAGTCGTAACTGAACTTGCGAGACAAGTTTGTTAACCATTACACCATCTCGAAGAGCCCTATTATTTACTAAGCGTCACTTGGATATGGTACAAGACCGAATGTATGGGGCACCCTGTGATGATCGAATCCTCTATTCAGTCTCACAATACCCCCCTTCCAAAGAGTTTTCTTTTTGAAAAGGAGAGAAAAAATAAAACTGTTAATACTTTTTCCTCCTGGGATTTACGTCAAGCGGTTGAGTAAATTTTCTTTTCCTTCCTGAGCGTCGCACTTCAGGAGATACTTGGGGCATGTCGAGATCGAACTAGAGATCTTGATGTTTGCTAACCATCACACTACGTCGAAGTGCCCAACATGATTTTCTAAGCGTAGCTTTGATGTGTCACTAGGTCGAAAGTATGAGCCACCCAGTGAGGTTCAAATTCACTATCAGTCGTCAATGATATGACGAGACAAGCTTGCAAACCATTACACCGCGTTAAAGCGCCCTTGGGATTTTCTAGACGTACCTTAGATTTGGCACAAGATTGAAATTATGGGACACCATTAATGGTCGAACTCACTATTCAATCATAATTAATCTAGCGAAACAAGCTTGTTAACCATTACAGAACGTCGAAGAGTCCAATTTGTGTTCACTTATGGGCATCTGGAACAGCCTAAAAATGAATGAAAAAATGTTTTTCTGATATTGTGAATTGAGGTTTCAGTTAAGGAGAATTAACTGAAACTAAAAAGTCAAAAACATAGTATGTATACTTAAATAAAGAGTTCGGTTCCAATTTCCAACAGATTACACCTGAAGAAGGCAGGAAGGTACAACAGTCGAAACGCCGTGAATAACACAATATATATATATATATATATATATATATATATATATATATATATATATATATATAAGTAAATTGATCGGTTGACGTATGAGGGTCCAGCAATTCAGTCCATAAGACCAAACAGTCAGACTACTCACACATATGATTTGTTTATAGTGGCGACCACTTGTGCAGAACCGACCAGGCCTTTTGGAAGAGCCGAATACAGAGAATTGGTGCACAGAAATCCATAAGGTCCCCAAAACGAGTTGTTCTCCTCCTAGACCAGTTGCCATCCAAAGCTATAGGCTCCCAGTCTGTCCTGCATTTTAACCATATCTATTAGAGAAGAGACAGATTCACACGTTTCCCAATGGTATTTGCATGAAAGTGAATGAAAGAAACTCTACTGAAATTCAAACACAGCTCTTTGATACCTCATTTGGAGCCGATAGTCACTATCTATCTATCTATCTATCTATCTATCTATCTATCTATCTATCTATCTATCTATCTATCTATCTATCTCTATATATCTATATATATATATATATATATATATATATGAATGATAAAATATAGTTTTAAGGCATGCTATATTTAGGGGTTAAAATGTTCAATAAAGTGGACATTGATGTTAAGACCCAGTCTGTTTCATGCTTAAATACTATCTTCATGTTATGATGACAGCGCTTAAGCATGAAACTGACTGTCGCCTCCGGGTGCTCACATCAATTACTTTCAAATATCTATCTATCTATCTATCTATCTATCTATCTATATATATATATATATATATATATATATATATATATATATATATATATACAGCTGTTTTGTGGAACCGACTCTGATGTTTTCCCAATCCCTATATATTGAGCTCATCACGTCAAGAGTTAATTGTTATGTTTCCTGCATAACATCATGAACTTAATTTCTTGCCTTTTCTCACGCCCATACAGCATTACGCAGTAAGATTAAACCTTGAGTGGCTATTGGACCATGTACTGGGTGAAAATTAGTATATATATATATATATATATATATATATATATATATATAACGCACGTCAAGCACAGACAATCATATATAAAAAAACTAAATCAAAGCACACTATCTGTCGTATTTAATGATATATATATATATATATATATATATATATATATATATATATATATATATACATACATACATACATACATACATAGAAAGAGACAGAATAGACTGATAGATAGATTGATACATAGAAAAAAAAAGAATATACAGATAGATAAATAATATGCAGATAGATAGATAGATAGATAGATAGATAGATAGATAGATAGATAGATTGTGGATAATGGCTCTAAATGAGGAATGGAAGAGTTGAGTTTGAATTTCAGTCGAGTTCCTTACATTCACTTTCATACCCTTAGGAAACGTGTGAACCTACTTCTTCTCTCCCCACCGCCAAGATATGGTTAAAATGCACGACAGACTAGAGCCTTTAGCCTTTGGTGGCAACCTGTCTAGGAAAAGGACAACAAGTTTTAAGGACCTTGTGGCTTCTTTGACCCTTATCCCCCACTAGAAAAAATTGTTAACTTCCAGCTGTCAAAAAAATTGTCAACGTCTCATACAAACACATACCTCTCTGCTAAAAAAAAAATATGTGTTATTTTAAACTAAAACTAAGTAATATGTGTTTCAAATCAGATTAATTAAACTTTAAATTTCCTCAAAAAAAGTCTCAGGAAAATATATTCCATTTTGGAAAGATTTTTTTAATAAAGAGAATTACGTTGTGCTGTTAGATGTCTAAAACAGCTAAAATTTATTTTTCGCGAATAAAAAATCCTTCCAGTCAATTTAAATTCGTTTTGAAATGCAGTAAAATATTTTGCTCATTAGAAATATTAAATTTAATCTATTAACTTGAAAATAAAAGCTTCAAGAAACATTTTTCATTAAAAATTAATTTTAAACCTTATCTATGGCGTTTCCTCGAGTTGCTGACACACACATGCATATATATATATATATATATATATATATATATATATATATATATATATATATATATATATAAAAGATCAAATATAGATTAAGCATAGATAGTAATCCGACAAAATGATAGGATAAAGAACAAGGAAAGAGATTTTAATCTAACATGTTTCACTTTATTAAAGTTTCGTCAGAGATCGAGATAGAAATGATAAAAAATGTTAAAAAGCAAAGAGACGTAGATTAATGGCATGTTCAATTTGGTTAGTTCTTATTGGTTGTCCAATTCAGGTTTTCGAACTGGCCAGCCAGATGAGTTTGCTGTCAATTGCGCCACAGTTATGCAAGCAGTTCTTGTCCTCCCTTCACCCCTCGGAAGTATGGAGCATCCGGTGAGGATCGAACTCTCTACTCCGTTCTAATTGATCTAACGAGACAAGATTGCTTACACTATGTAGAAGCGTGGGAGGGATAGTGATTTTCCAAGCCCGGCTTAGATGTGACACAAAGCCGAAAGTATGGGGTACCCAGTGAGGATCGAACTCACTACTCAGTCGTAATTGATCTAGCAAGACAAGTTTTCTAACCATTACACCACGTCGAGGTTCCCATAGCGTGGGAGGGGCTTCCTAGGCGTGGCTTAGATGTGGCACCAGGCCATAGTGTGGAGCACTCAGGGAGGATCGCGCTCACTATCCATTTGTAATTGATCTAACCAGATAAGCTTGTTAACCATTACACCAAGTAGTAAATGAAATAAGCACACGTAAATGTTTATAGCAACTGGAAGATACCACTTAAATTTTGTTTCAGCCGTCAAACAATCCAATCAGATTATCTATTTTTTTCTTCTTTGTTCCTTTATGACGTTTGCGATCATGGCTCTCCATAACTTCCTATCTTTTGTAGCTCTTAGTTTTCCTTATCTCCCAATCGCTTTTCTGTCATCCACTAACACAATTTCGTTACGTAGGTTATGCTTAGTTTTCCACTGCTACTCTGGCTGTCAGTATATCCTGTGAGTGCCATATTCTCCAGGCACTCTTTCTTCATTATGTGCCCCACAAATTTCAAGTTTCTCTTTTTGATTCTAACTACAAGTATTCACTTTGTCTCCAAACCTCCTCGATACTTACATATTTAGACCATTGTATTCTCAGCATCCTTCTGTTGGATCACATTACTGCCGCCTCAAGTTTCTTTGACATCTGAGAAGAGATAGTCCAACATTCACGAGCGAATTGGAGGATTTGTTACATAACAGTATAGAACTCTTTTCTTTGAATGGCAAGTAAATATCGTTTCAAATAAATACGGATTAAGACAGATGTTAGAGATGAGCTTGTTTTAGTAAGATTCAATTTTCTGGCGAAATTGTCTCAAATGCTTTCATGCTTTTATTTTTATTTTTACAGATAATCAACTGTTTGGATGGATGTAGTAGAATTAAAACAGACATAAAATTAAACAGTGATTTCTAATTAAAGTTTGGTTGCGCTTCCCTTTTGATAACACATCGTCGAAAAATCAGGATAAGCCACCCCCGCCTATCTATTATCATTAACGTATCAACAAAGTTTAGGTTGCCCTTGACAACGGAGTTTAGTTTGCTTCAATAAAACTCAAGATAATTAAAAAAAAAAAAAAAAGAAAAAAAGAAGAAAAAAAAGAAGAAATCTAAAGAAAATAAATGGAACCTGATGTCAATTAGTGCAGGCAAGACCCAATTATAGCTAATCACAATCAGTTCGAGATAGCGTGACCCGCTTGGTATTAAGCAATAGCTCTCAGTAAATATATGGCGCAAGGTTCAATGTAAACCGAAAACATGCAGCCATATATGTAGTAAAATCTCTCTTTCTCTCTCTGCCTCTCTCGCTATCTATCTATCTATCTATCTATCTATCTATCTATCTATCATTCAGTAAATATATGGTGCAAGGTTTAATGTAATCCGAAAACAAGCAACCATATATGTACGCAAATCTCTCTTTCTCTCTCTTGCTCTCTCTCTCTCTCCATCTATCTATCTATCTATCTATCTATCTATCTATCTATCTATCTATCTATCTATCAGTAAATATATGGCGCAAGATTCAATGTAATCCGAAAACAAGCAACCATATATGTACGCAAATCTCTCTCTCTCTCTCTCTCTCTCTCTCTCTCTATCTATCTATCTATCTATCTACCTATCTATCTATCTATTCAAATATATATTGTTAAATATAAGAGACAACGAATGTCTACTATGTTTGATCCTGAGCCGTTCTAAGCTTCGTATAGTGGCTTTAGTTCCGAGGGAAAACAAAGAGAGAAACTGTCCAACCTTTGGATATGTTTTTATTATATTAGTCGTCGATCTTAGCTTATGGCTTACATGAGCCATCATCAGAGTGGTTATATGGACATGACAACAGAGATCTTTAGCGTCAAAGAGGATATCCTGTTATGTTTAAATAGAAGTTTGCTATGTGACGATAACGGTCGCGGCATAGGAAACGCAGGTTCTAAATTCGTAATGTGGTTCTATGGCGTTGTACATGACCACGTTAGAGAAAGAAATGTTATCAACAGAACCACGTGTTTAAATGCATTCTAATATGTTGTGACTGGTTTGAAATGTAATTTTGTTGAGTGTTGGTTGCAATATTTTAAGACTATTTTTTGAGTGTGGCCTCCAATATATTAAGGTTCTTTTTACTATGTGTAAGTGTGAGTATTGTGTTATCAACTAATATCTATCTAATATTATGTACGTGGCTATGTTTTTCTAATATAATAATGGACTCTCCCGTCGGTTTCGACGTATGAGGATCTGACAGCTTATTGATTCACTTATGAAATTTTGTGCGATAATCTTAAGTGGCATTTAAGACACGCTAGTGATTTACAAAGGAGGACACATATGGATCAAGTGTGAGGATTGTGAGATGGGATCAGTGTTAGATTGGCTGATCTTTTAGATGTTGTTCTCGCTTCTTGAAGATGATTCAGACAAGCAGATTGAAAATTGCTGAGTCCACTAAACATGTTGATCTCCATTCTACCCGCTCCAAGGCTAAGCGCACAAGGGTGTTATGTGTGGGCATATTGACTGCTAATATAATGTTTTATATATATATATATATATATATATATATATATATATATATATATATATATATATTTATTGTGTGTTTTATTATTCAGCATTTTATTCATTAAATAATATATACAACAAGTGTCGTCTATTTATTTTATGTAAATTCTTTTCATAACGTCATGAAATAGAATTTATATAAAATAAATAGGCAACACTTGTCTATATTATTTAATTAAATATGTATGAATTTTTATATATATATATATATATATATATATATATATATATATATATAAGTGTTGCCTATTTATTTTATATAAATTCTATTTCATGACGTTATGAAAAAGAATTTTATATATAAATTTATATATATATATATATATAATGTTTATATATATATATATAATGTTTATATATATATATATATATTTATATATATATATATATATATATATATATATATATATATATATATATATATATATAATATTTTATATATAAGCCCTCCCATACGAACTGCAAAGGATTATTGGCGTCAATCAGGTATTGGTAATCGAACATTAAACTTCCTGCCCTCGAGGCACATGACTTCACAGTGAGCTATTCTTGGAAGTGCATTGAAATAAAGAATGGTAATTACTGAAACCTGAAGCAGAAAGTCTGTTCGCAAGAATGTTTATTTCGGTTCAACATGACAGCACGCTGCCTGTCGCGTAGTGTTTCCCAAACTTTAGCGTTGGCTCAGCTCCATCCAATTTTATCCCAACTGCGCCCGTGTTTACAGAGTTCGGATATTGAGCTCAAGTTTTATATCAGCAGCTGTGTTTTATCCGAACGTTTTTTTTAATATCTTGCTGTGCACGTATCAGTGTCTGGTTAAATATATACCTTTCTCTTTAACCTACTCTTCGTCAGTCTACAATTGCGCTCTACCTATCTGTATAGTTTGCAGGATACAATTTTTTTTTTCATTTAGTTAAGAGAAGAGAGTAACTCTCCCCATTCTTTTATATTTTGCACTCGGAATCAAGGATTCTTATGGTGGGTATTTTAAAAACGAGTAGGAGAATAAAAAAAAATCAAACGAAAAGAAAAATGCAAACAAACAACGAAAAAGCAGATAAAAAATCGAAAACTTCTGTAGTTATTGTTCATGTTACTGAGGGAATCTGAGGTAGCCGTTTGAATTGCTTGCCGTAAGGTCTAATTCTTCTGAATATGGTTCTTTATGTTACTTTTAATTCGGGATATGCTGGCTCTGACACAACAGAAGAATTTTCTTGATTGGTTTGACGAATTACTTCACTATGTTTGAGATAGACTCTCGCTAAAAGAAACAGTGGCGTAACACCAGCCTTCATTCTTTCGGAACAGGTTTTCTGAAAAAAAAACCTTCTTCGAAAAAAGGAATAGATTAACTTTACCTTTTATGGTCTGGAGACCCTTCTGTTTGCCTGGGGGTTCTTGATAATCCCCAGAGGCGGATATGCAATATAATCGGCCCTGTTCTGGCATCTCATCTACAGTCGCTCTCTCACAGACGCGCCATCGCCTCTCTCTGTCTTTTTTTACAAATACTTTCATGGTAATTGCTCCAAGGAGCTGCATTCACTGCTTCCCAGACTACATGAATTCAAGCGCCTTACGAGACTGGCACCCCGCTCTCACCCTTTCACTGTCGAAACTACTAAATATAGCCGTCTCTTCTACTCCAATAGCTTCATATCTCGCACCTCTCGCCTATGGAACTCCTTTCCCTATTCCAGTTTCCCTGAGAGCTATAATCTCCAACTATTCAAATGTAATGTCAATCGACATCTCCAGTTGCCTTGATCTATCCACTATCCTTCTCCTCATCCTTTCCTCTATCACTCCTATCTGATCTTGCTCCAAATCTTCTGTAACCCCTTGCGTCCTAGTGTCTTCCCGCCTTGCTTGGGGTGAAACGCTTAAAAATAAATTTACGGTAGCAATGTTACTGTCGTAGACCATTAAGAAAACAGTATGTGGCTTTTTATTCGCTGTGAATATAAACAAATCTTGAGATAAAGGTATAGTTCGCAAGCTTACACGATTATTATTATTACTGGGTCCTTACTTGTGGCATTTTGGAATATTCATTTGCCCTTAGTAAATTATTACATAAATCCTAGTCCTTCAACCTTCCTTTTATGTCCTACAGACCTAGTGAAACATCTGATCCGACTTCGTCTTAACGACTTAAGCAATAACATATTTGAAGATAAAGGATACTAATTCTTAATTTTTGAGCCAGGCACATTACTGCTAGTGAACGAATTGAACTCAACAAATAAGCTTTTAACTCAGCACAAATGTGACTATAATTTATGTAATTAGATTTTAATTTAAAAAAAAATGCAAGCCGGATGTTGAATCACAAAATTGATCATAAAATTTAATAACCTCTTTGCTTCTGATTCTCGTTCCTGGTCCTGTCAAAACATGGAATCTATTTGCTGACTGCGATCTGTACGCCTGCCTCTGGGGTAAGGAGATTTCTAAATTTTGTTTGGTTTGGTTTATTTTGTTTTACGGCATATCAACCTCAATGGGTTATTAATGCCGACAATATTTTTAGTATTGGATCGTAGGAATAGAATATGTATTAGAGTCAAATATATTGCTGGTAATTTTTTTTCTCCAAAAATGTATTGCTGGTAATTTTTACTATATCATTTTGCTACCTATCATAGTGTTTTGACCCAGGTTAAATAATTGCCCATAGCTTGAACTTTAACAGGTAATACGACACTGTGTCAGGTTGGACATGGATAAGCAATTAAAAGTTGGTTCCAAGTTCTTCAGAACCTCTCGAATAGAGGCCTTGCTGCCGGAGGTATTTTATTCATACTCAGGACCTCTAAATTTTGTCTTCATGGACAAAAGAGAACAGAATCTGGATTTATGATGGAAGCCATACAGAAGCATTATGGTTTTTGCTTCTCTAATTAAACTGCTGATGTATTAACGATTGTTGTTGAAGTATTTGTCAAGTTTTAGATGAGACTGATGAAGCTGGGGCTGTTGTTTGTATATCTCGAAAGCGCTTGACAGGGGTTGGCATACCTCTCTTCTTAACAAGTTGAAAGGTTATGGTATTTCTGGACGAATTTTCGAACTGATTCAATATTTCTCATCAAATCACGAAATAAAAATTGTCCTGAACGGCCACTCTTCTAGACTTTTCAGTATTAATTCAGGTAACGTTTCTATCCTTGGATCTACATGCTCCCGGATTTTAATCAATGACCTTCCTGATAGCATCATTCAACTCTATCTATGCTGATTGCCTACCTATTTGCTGTTGTCTTAATATTATGTTTGACTAGTTCGATAAAATTAAATTGGTAACAGATCTAAAAAAAATGACCTACAGTCTGCTGTTAAGTGTGGCAAGGAACGGCTTGTGAATCTTTACGCCTCCAAAACAAAACTGCTCTCTATCTATCATCTGAGAGACTCCTTTCCGCTTTCCATCAGCATGGCTGATGCTAACCTTCAGGAGTGTGACTCATTGCACCTTCGCGGGCTAACAGTTTCCGTTGCTATGAAGTGGAAAGATTATACGCAATACGTTGCTAATTCTATTCCTTGGAAAGTTGGTCCACTGTGTCGTTCTAGGCATTTTACCTCTTCAGAATTTATCTTACATATTTATAAGTCTACCATTCTTACATGCTTTGAATATTACTGTCACATCTGGTCTGCTGATTCTGTTATATATGTATAGATTCTTGATGACTTCCGAAGAAAAATCTGCATATAAATATATATATATATATATATATTTATCATTGCAATTATAAAATGTAACTGTGGATGTTGGGGTAATTATTCTATATAATACAGTTATGCATGTAGCCAATTAAATTTCGCCTGAGGGGTTGGAAGCACCGAAGAATACAAATGAAAGTTCAGACATTTTTCTAAAACCTTGCATGAATGAAAAAAAAAAAAAAAAAATGATGAAAAAAAAAAGTTCCACTACTCCTGGGAACTCGTGTTGTCTCTCTTTTTAAAGATGTTCCAACACACTGGGGTGACTGGGTGACGCTTCTTTTTACGTCAAATGTGAAAAATCAAGCCCGATGTTTTATGAAATCACATCAGATTATATTCAATTTTACGCGTAAATAAATATTTTTTTCTCCTATTATGATTAGCACACAAAACCACTCTAACGCAATAAAATATCACTAATAAAAATAGAAATATGAGTCAAACCTGGATGTATAGAAAACTGATGCTTAAAATGATTTCAAGGAGACGTGACATTATATATATATATATATATATATATATATATATATATATATATATACGATAATGGAAATAATACAGTTATGTATGTAGAATTACTGACACCGGAATACAAATTAGAAAAACCTCATATTTGAAGTATCCGACAAATGTGTGAAAAATCAATGTAAAATCCTCAGGTTATATTCAATGTTTTTTCATTGTTTACAAAACAAACCTGGATGTAGTACAGTCTTAAATATAGAGATCAAGGAGACGTTAGGAAGAGGAATAGTTAGAAATCATATTTGAAGCCGACAACAATTAACCTTCCATATGGAAAGCAAAACAAATTCTGAGGAGAGCCAGAAGTTAGTGGGCCTTTTCGATATAAATTCACGTTTTCAAAAAGTAAAAATAAGAAAACGCACACAGATCTTAAGAGTCGCCTTCATACAGGTGTAAGTCTAGAATTTAGAACAGTATATGAAAGGTATGAATCCACCTCTTCTCATATATATATATATATATGAGTAGATGTCTGTTTCACACATTTCCCCGTTTTTTTTTAACAGGAGTAGCTTCCATGTTTGTTCCATGTTTAGGGCTGTGTTTCCTTCAAAAGCCTTTTCATTCTGCCTCACACCCAGTAGCCCCTTAGTGGTATTATCGCCTTGCTTGAGTGAATATATATATATATATATATATATATATATATATATATATATATATATATAAATTTAAAATCAAACTCAGCGTTGCTACTGCACGCTCCAAAGACAATAACTCATTTCCAATAGCATTTTCGGATACAACAATACATATATTTTCGTTGTCCTCTTATTACTGAGAGAAAAAACAAGAACAACATCTATTCCATACTTGAAGATGTCTGTAGGAACAGACGAAAGCTTATAGTAAAAATAAGAACTAATGCAGCAGAAATTTATAGAAACAAGGATCTTTTCATTCATAACAGGTTCGGAGGTTTTTGTATATTATTTGAATTGTTTGCGACGATGGATTTCTCGCCAATTAAATCATTAACCTTTGCATTTGTTTTTGTGTGAATAATTCATGAAAATAAAAAGAAAGAACAGCAAGATATATAATCCGGTGTTCTTATAGATATTTTTTATTTTTACAAAATAGTGCTCAATGTAAATTTACAGAGCATTAATATTATAAATGCATTGATTTAAAATATGTTTTTTTTCGATACACAATTCTAACCATGTTTCAAAAATGGAAGCTAAAAACTCCGAATTTAATTTTGTGATTAAATTAAAGACATTAGTTCCATTTCATTTTTGTTTGAGCTGTGTATTTAAAACCCAGTAATTTTAAAAAGTTACTCCAAAATTCGCTTGAGGATGAAATTATTAAAAGAAATAATATTTTGCCGAATGGCCCACGCGATCGTCGTTATATTTTGACGAAACTATTTCAAAGACTCCTTTCGACACTTCTGGAGTTATATTCATTCTAATCTGAACTGGATCGATTGAGCCTTAGTCGTAGCTAGCATTCTAGGACTTCTTCCCTGTCCATTCAGGAAGTTGCTGATCCTAGCTCTCCGCAATTCTCTGTCCTTTGTAGCTCTTAATAAATTTAATGCTTTTGTCATATTTTCTGAATCCTTATCTTCCATACATTTGTGCAAGCTAAGTAGGCTATGCGTTTTTTTTTCATCAATCACTCTTACTTTCAATCTGTCCTGTGAGTATCGAATTTTCCAAGCCCTCTTTCCTCAGTATATACCCTGGAAATTTCAACTGCTTCTTTCTGATTGACAACTGTTAATATCGAAACACCATCTCGTATCTTCTTCCCAGCAATTCTCCAAACAGATCATCTCAAAGATCCGCAATCTGACATCCTAAAACGGCTCTGATTGAACAACAGCAGTCTATGTCCGTCTCTGTCTTAGAACATCTACTTAAACTGGATACTTCATCATCTAAAGCCCAGATATAGATGGTGAACATGTATGAACGGTGATATATCAGAACATAGCAGGAGACTTTGAAAGTTTATCAAAGTAATTTCTGCTACACACCCTGAATATATTGCATCCAGTTCAGCATTGTTCTGCATTATGCTGCAATTTCATTTTTCGTCAGTGCATTTATATAATCTAGAGTGAGTCTATGGGGGTATGCGCGCACACATACATATATCTATATAAATATCTAAATTTAGAAAGAGATTAAGTAAATTTTGTGTGATATGTTGAGTTGGGCTGAGGTAGTTACGAAGTGTCGCGGTATTTTGGTTGACAGCTGTAGAAGTCACAATGGTCGGTAGTGGCCGTGTCTTTTACGCAAAACGTCCTATTTCTGCCTGAATGTCTTTTGCTTTTGTCCTCAAGCGAAAGCGAATGGAAGCTTTTTTTCCTTCATATGCTTTTTTTTCTTTAAAGCTACTATTGAAAAGACTGCGTCGAAATGTTGCAAGAAGGAACGACGCAGCGCTCCTCCGTGACCTTCAAGAGATAAAAACGAGATTTTTTTTTTCTTTTTAAAGGCCAATGGTCGACGCCAAAACCAAAGAAAGAAAAGCCAGCGGAACGGGTGGATGCGTTAGAGACATTAACTGAAAACGAGGAAAGACTGAATATACTGACTTGTCTTTCTTTCAGACATGTTCTTTTTTTTAATCATTTCTTTTTCAAATCTTCTTTATTTTTTTTTTAATTCGTTTCTTTCAGCTTTTTCTTTTGTTATATTTATTCCATCATTTTTTTTCTTTTCTTTCACCGTTTTTCATTTTAAATCATTCATTTTTTTTATTTCTTTCGTTTATTCTTTTTAAACGTTTTCTTTTTTCTTACTTTTTTCAATGTCATCTTTCTTTCGTTTTAATGTTTTATTTATTTTCTTCTATTTTCTTTCTTTCTTTTCTCTTTCGTATATATTTCTCAATGTTTTTTGTTTTTCTTTCCTTTTTCGATGTTTTCTTTCTTTTTATACTTTTTAATGTTTTATTTTTTCCTTCTATTTTCCTTCATTCGTTTATGTATTTTCAGTATTTCATTTTTCCTTCCATTTTCTTTCTTTCTTTCTTTCTCTTTTTCAATATGTTCTTTCTTTGCGTCTTTGGCTACTTAATGGCTTCTAATATATCTGTTGTTCTCTCTTCTTTTTTTTTCTTTCTTTCCTCCAATTCTTCCTCCTTTTTTTCTTTCATTTTACGTAACTTTTATACGATTTCTTTTTTGTATTCTTATTTGTTTCGGTATTTTTTTTTGATTCATTCACCGCGTCTGATGTTTCATTTATGCCTACTCTTCACCTTCTTCACCAACTTTATTCTGAAATGTCTTGCCGACATTGTACCATTGTATTGAAACCTTAAAGAATGATAGGATCCTCTTTTGAAACGAGAACGTCGTCAGTAGCAAGTCGGAAATCAACACAATCATAAACATTTCACCAGTAACTTTGCGATAGGATTTTCTTACAATCACGATCTTCAGTTTCAACACTAGCATCCTCAACATAAGAACGAGTACATGCCGCCGCCATCATCATCATCATCATCATCATCATCATCATCATCATCATCATCATCACCGTCACCACCAACATCCTCATTAATAACAATAAAAATAATAAGGTAACAAATTAGTTGAGAATGAGTAGAAAAGTAGATATGACTGGATGGAAAAGTTGATCCGCCGAGAACTGTTCAACTGAGTGCATTTTGACCATATGAACCGACTGAATAATTTCACACTCCCATGACACTTCAATTTCGGCACAATAATAATAATAATAATAATAATAATAATAATAATGACGAATAATAACGAATAATAATAAGGTAAACAAATCAGATCAGAATGAGTATAAGAGCAGGCATGACTGGGCGGGAAAGGTGATTGCTAGAACCTGTTCAATTAAGCGCATTTTGACCATATGAACCGAGAGTAATTTTACACTCAGGAGACATCGTCAATGCAAGAGAGTCAAAAGAAAACATCGAATAATCTGCCTAACGGGCTTGTGTAAATAAATAGCAGAATAGTAATCGCGCGGGAAAAAAAAATTCTTTATAGCTACAAAGGATGGGAAGTTGTGGGGAGCTATGACTGTTCACGTGTTTACAGGACACAACACAAAATAAGAAAATATGTAGAGAGGCGTTTCAGCTCAACCAAGTGAAATCCATTAAAAATGAAAGCTATAACAGACCCGTTGAGCAAAAAAAAAAAAAAAAACATAATAAAAATTTTGTTTTTAAAAATTCGAGAACTTGACACAATGGGGAAATTTTCCTAAGTATATTTGTATCCCAATGTCGCTTAATTTTGATTCTCTCTCACTCTATTAATGCAATCGTGGAGAAGCAATATGGCTCGATTTTGAGAGCTTTCTAATTCTAAGTTAGAAGGGAAAGTGGACTTGCGTGTCACATTTAGATACTTGGGAGACCACTTGAACAGGCAGAGTTACTCGACCAAAAGATATAACTGGGCTCCATACGTAAGGTTATTCCTTTTTTTAAATCAAAAACGTCCACCATGGCGCGTATGTTCGGCTGTGATCCATATGGCTGGTATATAGAGTATCCTTATCACTCTGGCTGTTATGATGGGTATACTGGGCTTTGTGTATTTGTATCGCAGTGTTACATTTTTGGAGTTTTGCTCGCTGGCTCTCGAATACTACTACGAATAATAATAATAATAATAATAATAATAATAATAATAATAAAGTAATATTGCAACAAATTCATATGAATACCATCCAGACTACGTTACAGAGATAGAACCTGTAACGATTTTATGGAACTTTACAATACACATAGAGAAAACAATTAAAGATAATCGCCTAGACATCGTGATCAGAGTTCGGAAAAACAGGATATGCCTTGTTATTGACATGGCAGTCCCTGCAGACTGTAATGTATTTTGAAGATCTTCAAAAATCTATCAAAGTACAAAAACCTTGAAATCGAAATCTCAAAAATGTAGCACAACAATAATTCCAGTTGTAGTTGGAGCCCTCGGATTGATTGGAAAATGTCGTGATAGTAGCCCAAGCCTTAAAGAAATAAAGAAAAAAGGTAACAAAAGTACAGCTCATACCTTACGAAGAGCTTTATCTCTGAAAAATGTGTGTGATCTTAGTTTTTTTCTTTGTTTAAATGCTCAGTGATATTTTTGACTTTAGGTCTCTGGTCGGAACTCGGAAAGAAATGAGTACACACCAGAAATCAAAGGAAATAATAATAATAATAATAATAATAATAATAATAATAATAATAATAATAATAAACGTTGTAGGTTCTATTGCCAAAATAAAATATTCTGAACAGATCTTAAGAAATTTTACAGGGAAATTGGAAAAACACCTATACATGTCGAAAGGCCACCATCGATTGATAATGTACAGACATTTTGGGAAAATATTTGGAGCAGCCCAAAGGAATAAAACCCAAATAATGCAGAATGGATCCGGCGTGAAGAAGAACGAATGCTGGATACACGTCTGCAAGAATGGGAAAATATATCCACAGATGATGTTAGGCAATCTCTAACGAAATCCCAAAAATGGAAATCCCCAGGAAATGACAAGTTGCCCAATTTCTAGCTTTATCATCTCTTATCTGTCCATGAAATTCTTGCAAAAACATTATCGACGCTTGTAAGTAATCCTAATAAAACCCCGGAATGGATTACTGAAGGTATTACATACCTCATACCAAAAACAACTGAAACAGACGACCCGAAAAATTATAGACCGATAACATGTCTCTCCACAACGTATAAGTTGATCACGTCTGTACTGACGAACCGTACTTATTCCTTTCTCGAAACAAACAGCATTCTCCCGCTGGAACAGAAGGGATGCAGAAGAGGTTCATATGGCTGCAAAGATCAACTTCTGATAAATAAAATGATCCTGGAAAATTGCAGGAGACGACTTAGAAATCTTAGTGCAGCGTGGATTGATTATCGTAAAGCCTTTGATAGTGTTCCACATTCTTGGATCCTTAATACTTTGTTATTAAAGACCACAAACAAAAAAAGTTCCTTCTTATTGATATGGCTGTCCCTGCTGACTGCAATGTATCTTTGAAGATATTCAAAAAGTTGTCAAAATACAAGGACCTTGAAATAGAAATCTCGAAAATGTGGCATATGGGGACATCAACAATCCCTGTTGTAGTTGGAGCACTAGGACTTGTTGGAAAAGATTGCAGTAGATTAATTGAAGGGATTCCTGGAAGTCCATGCCTCAAGGAGATACAAAAAATTGTTCTGACACTTTACGAAGGGCTTCATCCATGTAATTTTTTTTTTTTTTGTCAGTGGAAAGTGTCATGACGCCATTTCTAACCTTAGGTCCCTGGGCGGGACCCGGAAAGAAATGTGTAAACGCCAGAAATCAAAGAACATAATAATAATAATAATAATAATAATAATAATAATAATAATAATTTTGTTTTCGGGACTCTGAAAAATTCAGCGTGTTAATTTTATTCAGCGTGTTAATTTTATTCAGCGTGTTAATTTTATTCAGCGTGTTAATTTTATTCTAAAGAATATTATATATTATAAGAATATTATTATAAATTACTGAATATTATTTTATTATAAGCAATTTTAAATTGAAATTTATAAATTATTTTCAGTTTATGCAAATAATTCTTTTCTTGTTTAATATTCAAATTAATATTTTTATAAGTGAAACAGAAATGCCATTTATAATTTATGTTATAAATAATTTAATTTGTTAAATTAATTCTTTAAATTTTATACATTTTTACCCCACCTGTATACCCGCACCCCTTGTCTAGAAATGTCTGCCTGCGTCCCCGCTTGCATGCATCGTCTGTTGGTATACTAACCTACTCCCCTCACTCGTCTTATTTAGGGTATGTCCTTCGCAAGTGTTTGACTGATAAAGAAAATCCATCGATAAAATCTTGTGTTCGTTGCTCGGGGTTAAAATGTTTCAATGTTTTAGATATTCAATAAATTTCCTATGGTCGTAATAACTTTCAAATAGTATGACATTGTTCATAAATCTAATAATCAAACAAAAACAGGGATGAAGCGTCAGATCTTGATTCAACTGCAAGTGCAAACGCATGAGCGTTCCCTCCTACTTCGCACGTTTACTGTAAAGCTAGAGTCAATAAGAGGTTTTTCGGTAAATTTTCCCTTGTAGTGCTTCAATAATCCTTCTCAAACAATTTTTGGTACAAAGGTTGTTTGGATGCCAATTTAGGATGGAATCATATGAAGAAATGTTTGGCTTAATAGGAAAAAGCCGACTTGGGGCTTAATTTGTCGTAGATTTCGTCCACTTAACTGAAGTAATCTAGACCAGACTTTCACGTGAGACAATTTGTGTGTCATATGTAATTTACATGGCAAATTGGGAAACTATCAGATTAAAAACCGGGGCGTTATGACCGAAAAACGAACTTTTTTAATAGTTTCTCGTGGTTTTTCGTTGTACGCGGGGAAACAAAGATTAAAACCACACTTATTTTCTGCATGATGGCAAATGTTTGCAACATATTTGAAGAAGATCAGATAAAAAATGAGGAAGTTATTCTCGTTTTTATTTTAAGTTGTACGAAGAACCCGATTTTTTCACAGTATTTTTACTATTTTTTTGCGTGAAGCCAATGGTGCAGGAAAACTATCAAGTATAAACCTCATAACATGAGCTTTTTTTTTTTGCATTAATTGCAAAGATCATCTCACCCAGTAAAAAGTTTGTCCGTGTGTGACATTGTCTCGGTTTTCGTACCTATCTTCAGTTTTATCAATGTTTCTGCCAAACTCGAGGGGGTCTGGAGATTGAAATGATAGTCTTGACCGTTTCTTCGTAAATTTTCAACATGTCAACAATTTCATCAAAATCGGTCGAGAAATATGGACGTGCATAAACAGCAACTACACACAGACAGACACACAGACAGACATTTTTTTTATGGATATAGATTTAATAAATTGCATCATTTTTTAAAGTGTGGAGTTACAAAGAAACACATGTTGCAAACTGATGACATTACAATTAATAACGGAACGAGAGAAATTCTTATATGACATCAGTCGTCGCACAGTTTAGCAAATTTACTGAAACATCAAATTCAAAAACAACCTGTAGTTGAAAAATATTTCATCTGCACTTTTCTTCCAAATAATTAAAATATAAACCATCAACCGATGATTCCAAATGACTGAAAGCTCAACTGAGATGTTTTTACGGTTTATCAACCTTTTGTTAGTCATTTAAAGGCGAAACATATTTCGGACTGTAAGCATAATTTTTTTGGTGAGTGAATATTGCATTAACAATTTTTTTGAAGATAGAAATGATTTTT